TTCAAATGCAGTGGATCCCTACTTGTAAGGCCTTAGCTGATCTAAGAGAATCCCCTGACAGATCACTCCTCTCATCAGGTCCTATCATGCATGATATTGCGCCCTTAGACCTCACAACCCCTCAGGTTTCTGACTACACAACGGCATCCTCTATGACGGGAAACTTATTTATGTCCCAGATGGCCAGCCTAGGCTCGAAGTTCTGAAATTATGTCACAATTCAACACTCACTGGCAATGTTCCCTCTAATTTTTTCCATCCGTGTGTGGAATGAATTTTGTTATGCGCACCAATATCAAGCTAATGTACAGATGTGCGCCACCAGTAGAAACAAAAAACTCTAGATAATTTTTTTTAAGTTAGCATAGGGATAATTTCTCCTGCTGGGACAAGTTAGGCATTTTAGAACTCACTACTCAAAGAATTAAATTTAAGCATAAGAGAAATAAAAATTATGAAATGCATAGACCAGTCAAAAAACTAAAATAACAAACTTTGTAAGAATAAAATTACAGAGGCTGCCGAGGGAAGTGGCCAGCCAAAGGACTGCAGTTTGCCCCTGAGCAAGGGACTGGACTAAAGGGGCTGCAGTTCGCCACTGTGGCGAGAGGCCAGCCGAAGGCCTGTTGGTTCACCTGGAATGGGGGAGACAATGGAGTTGGGGCAGGACACCGTGGTCCGGGAGCGACGCAGGTCCCCAGAGACAACAGAGATGGTGGAGAAGCAGTGACAGAGAGAGACACACCACAAGAGGAGGGTGCCTTGCTGATGGACAGAGCTAATTCCTGTAGCAAACAGCAGGAGGCACCATGAGCGGTGAGCATAAATAGCTACACTGGCCAAGAATCCTTGCTGGAAGTTACTGTCTCCACTGCCCACCCATCTCAGTGCTGATCCATCATGTCCCTGGACTTCACTGTAGATTTACACTGCTCCCACAGTTGTACAGTAGTGTTAGTCACAGTTCTTCACTATGGTGGCACACTTAGTCCATTCGCACACAGTCCCTACCACCCCAGAACTGCCTGCCTCTTTCTTCAGCACATCTTCTGGCTCTATGGACCACAGACTGGCACTGTAGAATCATAGAATATCAGGGTTGGAAGGGACCTCAGGAGGTCATCTGGTCCAACCCCCTGCTCAAAGCAGGACCAATCCCCAATTAAATCATCCCAGCCAGGGCTTTGTCAAGCCTGACCTTAAAAACTTCTAAGGAAGGAGATTCTACCACCTCCCTAGGTAACGCATTCCAGTGTTTCACCACCCTCTTAGTGAAAAAGTTTTTCCTAATATCCAACCTAAACCTCCCCCACTGCAACTTGAGACCATTACTCCTTGTCCTGTCCTCTTCTACCACTGAGAATAGTCTAGAACCATCCTCTTTGGAACCACCTCTCAGGTAGTTGAAAGCAGCTATCAAATCCCCCCTCATTCTTCTCTTCTGCAGACTAAACAATCCCAGTTCCCTCAGCGTCTCCTCATAAGTCATGTGTTCCAGACCCCTAATCACTTTTGTTGCCCTTCGCTGGACTCTCTCCAATTTATCCACATCCTTCTTGTAGTGTGGGACCCAAAACTGGACACAGTACTCCAGATGAGGCCTCACCAATGTCAAATAGAGGGGGACGATCACGTCCCTCGATCTGCTCACTATGCCCCTACTTATACATCCCAAAACGCCATTGGCTTTCTTGGCAACAAGGGCACACTGTTGACTCATATCCAGCTTCTCGTCCACTGTCACCCCTAGGTCCTTTTCCGCAGAACTGCTGCCTAGCCATTCGGTCCCTAGTCTGTACCTGTGCATTGGGTTCTTCTGTCCTAAGTGCAGGACCCTGCACTTATCCTTATTGAACCGATTTCTTTTGGCCCAATCCTCCAATTTGTCTAGGTCCCTCTGTATCCTATCCCTGCCCTCCAGCATATCTACCACTCCTCCCAGTTTAGTATCATCCGCAAATTTGCTGAGAGTGCAATCCACACCATCCTCCAGATCATTTATGAAGATATTGAACAAAACTGGCCCCAGGACCGACCCCTGGGGCACTCCACTTGACACCGGCTGCCAACTAGACATGGAGCCATTGATCACTACCCGTTGAGCCCGACAATCTAGCCAACTTTCTACCCACCTTATCGTGCATTCATCCAGCCCATACTTCTTTAACTTGCCGACAAGAATACTGTGGGAGACCGTGTCAAAAGCTTTGCTGAAGTCAAGAAACAATACATCCACTGCTTTCCCTTCATCCACAGAACCAGCAATCTCATCATAGAAGGCGATTAGATTAGTCAGGCATGACCTTCCCTTGGTGAATCCATGCTGACTGTTCCTGATCACTTTCCTCTCATGTAAGTGCTTCAGGATTGATTCTTTGAGGACCTGCTCCATGATTTTTCTGGGGACTGAGGTGAGGCTGACTGGCCTGTAGTTCCCTGGATCCTCCTTCTTCCCTTTTTTAAAGATTGGCACTACATTAGCCTTTTTCCAGTCATCCGGGACTTCCCCCGTTCGCCACGAGTTTTCAAAGATAATGGCCAATGGCTCTGCAATCACAGCCACCAATTCCTTTAGCACTCTCGGATGCAACTTGTCCAGCCCCATGGACTTGTGCACGTCCAGCTTTTCTAAATAGTCCCTAACCACCTCTTTCTCCACAGAGGGCTGGCCATCTCTTCCCCATGTTGTGATGCCCAGCGCAGCAATCTGGGAGCTCTTGTTCGTGAAGACAGAGGCAAAAAAAGCATTGAGTACATTAGCTTTTTCCACATCCTCTGTCACTAGGTTGCCTCCCTCATTCATTAAGGGGCCCACACTTTCCTTGGCTTTCTTCTTGTTGCCAACATACCTGAAGAAACCCTTCTTGTTACTCTTGACATCTCTTGCTAGCTGCAGCTCCAGGTGCGATTTGGCCCTCCTGATTTCATTCCTACATGCCCGAGCAATATTTTTATACTCTTCCCTGGTCATCTGTCCAACCTTCCACTTCTTGTAAGCTTCTTTATGTTTAAGATCCGCTAGGATTTCACCGTTAAGCCAAGCTGGTCGCCTGCCATATTTACTATTCTTTTGACACATCGGGATGGTTTGTCCCTGTAACCTCGACAGGGATTCCTTGAAATACAGCCAGCTCTCCTGGACTCCTTTCCCCTTCATGTTAGTCCCCCAGGGGATCCTATCCATCCATTCCCTGAGGGAGTCGAAGTCTGCTTTCTGTGTCAGATCAAGGCCCACAATTTGTCATGTGCTTCTGGCACAAGGTTTTAAATTCCCAGGTGTAGAGCTCCTTACCTCATCAGCATACCACCCACAGATCACACCAATGGACGGACCAAACCAGATCTTAGAGCAGTACCTCTAATGCTTCCTGAATTATGACCAGCATAATAGGGTCTCCCTGCTGCCTTGTGCAGAGCTGGCCTACAACAGTTTGATCCATGCCTCCCCCTGACAGAGACCATTCTATGGCAATTGCAGCTTCCATCCCTGCTTTCACGCAGCATTGACCACAGACTCCCTGGTCACCCATCTGCATCACCTGCAATAAGAACTTATTGAACAACTGGAAGCCACCAAAGTAACCTAGAAGCATTATGACAATAGCAGCTTCCAGGATGCACCACACTTTAGTGTCAGGGACAGGGTCTTTATATCATCTCAGAATCTGAAATTAACCCAACCATCAGCTAAGCTGGCTCACCAATACTTAGGTCCATTCGATATCCTTGAGCAGATCAACCTGGTGACACTCAAGCTTCAATGACCAGAGTCAGTGAAGACCCATCCAGTGTTTCAAGTCTCTCTCCTAAAACCTTACCTACGTAACCCCTTCTTTGGTTAATCCAACCCACCGCTGCTGCCCATAACAGTCCCTGGACAAGAAGAGGACCTTGTCTGACAGATTCTTGACTCCAAGCAAGTTTAATTGCTTGGTGTACTAGGACAACTACGGTCCTGATGACCAGTCATGGCAGCCAGCAGAGAACGTTCATGAATCAAGATTGGTATGCGATTTTCATTGGGTCCATCCGAAAGAAGGTGCTCCTGCCAGTGAGCTACTGTCAGGAACCCTGGCATTGAGTTCCCTTGACAGAGCCTAGTGCTAGCCAGCTCAGCATTCAGGAAGGTTAATGAGCCCAGCTGGGCTGCAGCAGAATTGCCTGATTGGCCGGCCCACCTAATTGGCTAAAAGGAGACAAAAAGGTCTGCATTTAAGCTCAGCAGAAGCAGCAGTTTGCTGGCTGTTCAGTGCTTACACCCACAACTGCTATCTCTCCTTTTCCTGCCTTGTTCCCAGCCTTGCTCCTGCCTTGTATCCAGTCTTGGCTCTGGCCTTGCTCTGGTCCTGCTCCAATCTGCTCTTGCCCTGTTCTGATCCGTGCCTGGTTTCTGGCTCCGGCTCTGACCCTGATTACTGACTCTTGGCTCTGGCTCTAGTCCTTGGATTGATTCTTGGTTCTGACTTCAGCTTTGGCCCAGGGCTCTGGCTACCAACTCTATCCCTGGCATTAACCACCAAGCATTGCTCAGGTTCTAACCACTAGATCAGACCACCCACGTCTCAGTCCTGACACCTGGTTTGTTAACCAAAAAAGTTACCTTTGATATATTTTTAAAATATTTTTGAATTGTCCATGAATCCATTGCCTATACATGGCAAAATAACTAGGTTTTACTGGCTGATAAATATGAAAAATTGAATCAGTAACAAAGAAGTTGGAGTTCTAAATATTTTTTAATCTAACTTCTCCAAAACGTGGTATGAACTGAACACTTAGTGGCGTACAGTGACACAAAAAGTCTTATTTGGCACTCTTTTGGGATGAGTTGCATAACTCTGATAACTTTGCCACTCTTCAATAATGCAGCCATCTCAAACTCATGTCAGTAAAACCTTAATACTAACACACGTTTTCAGAATGGCAGTATAATTCGTCCAGATACCAAGTTCTCAGTTTCCAAATGGCATCTACCAATTGTCTATCATATTTATACCTACCTGCCTCTCTCTTTTTGATACCTCTGCCAGGATTGTTTTAAGCGCCTTCAGTTCACTGGTAACTGCTTCTAGCATACTCCTGGCCCTTTCTTTATCCTCCTTAGCTTCATGCTCCGTAAACTGTAATTCAGATTTGACACAGATCAGCTGCTTCTCAGCCTTCTCCTTCATCTTTTCCAGCTTGCCTTGAGACTTGTTTAGTTCCTCAATGGTTCTAGTCTGCTCCAGAGTTTTGACCTACAAGATCAACGATTAGAGGACTATTAAGTTCTTCACATTGCCATTTATAAGAACCCAATAGCGAAGATGGCTATTCTAGAATGCTTTTTTTTTCTGCTGAGCTGAAGATAGCTTTTTGCTATTGTAAAGCAACAAACATTTTCACAAGAAATTCAGAACTAGTGAAAAGCTAAAACTGTTTCATTTCAGTTCAAAACTTTTTCTCCCAGGTTTGACAGAATAAATTTTCTGAGGACAACTAAAGCAACACACATTGGAATGTGTTCAACTGTAGCCATGTTGGGTATTCCACATTCCATAACATTAACTCCAAGTGTTCTGGACATTATTTACAGATGCTATGTAGTACATACTTAGAGGTCAATGACAGATTCCAAAATATCACAGATCTCTTGACTTTATTATACTGCTTTCTTTGCCACACAGACAGATTTCAGTAGTTCACCGTTAACATATGTTATTATACTTCATAGTTAGTGTTTCGTGTTTTCAGTTTTTACTGATTTACACCTGTTTATCAATGTACACTCTCTCTCTCTATATATATATACACACACACAAACATACACACACACACTTTACTTATTTTTGTTAAACACTAACGCGTTAGGCGATTGTTGTGTCCTGCAGTTCTGAGACTGAAGCAGTTCTACAGTGTAAAACACAGAACACACTCACAGTGGCGGTTGGAAAAATTAAACAATGTTAGTATTGTACTATGATTGGCTCACAAGGAGACGCTGCCCACCTATTTCTTTGTGTGCGCTTAGTGCAGCACTGATATTTAAACAACCAATCCTCCACAAATAAAGATAAGGTAAAAAGGTAAACCTGGGGTGAAAACGCAAATCTATACCTGAACACCAACAAGAAAATCAGTGGTTAGAAATTTTCAAGAAAATCAAAGACAGGAGTGAAGAGGATGTCTTGTGCTGCGAGTACTGCAGAGTTGAGGTTAGTGCTCACGCTAACAGAATAAAGGAGTATGTTGAAAACAAATGACATAAGAAGCTTAAAGAGGAAAGTGAGCTGTTGGGTAAACAGTCAATATCAGGAGCTTTCTTTCATTAACACCCTAGTGAGAGGACGCAGTATGATTGTGCCACTGAATTTGTGCGTGCTTTGTTTCACCAGACAGCTGCTGTTAATTGCTAAGGGGCCTATTGGTGACTTTGTGCAACCATACTGTCCAGCAGCAAAAACCATTCCTAATGCAGACAAACTCACTGGTAAATATCTGAAAGAAAATGACAATGCTTTAGAATCTAAACTGATGGAATGAATTGATGGAAATGTGGTGTCTAGGCTGATTTTTGATGAGTCTCCTCATACCTTGGACTGTCCAATTTTTGGCCTTTTGTTTTTGTTTTTTGATTTCAAAGTGAATAAACTTGCATTGTTTAGTGCTAATGTGACATTAGCTGACACCCATTTTGTTGAGGCAGCAATAACTGATATGTTTGAGATGTACCAACTAACTTGGGAAAACGTGGCCACAGCTAACACAGATTCTGATTCCTACATGGCTAAGTTTGCATGGGAAATTAAACTCAACCAGTAACCAGAGATGCTACCTATTACCTGTCCTGCTAACCTGATTAACATTGCGCTGTCAGCAGCTATTGCTATAGAAGAAATTAAAGAGGTGAAATCTTACATCATTGGATTCGGGGTTATTTCAAGCATGCAAACAAGTTGAAGGCTTTGTTTTACACAGTGCAAGATGAATGCAGAGCCAACTGCCAATTACCTACCCATTATGCCATATCAGTGGATGAGCTTGTACTTCACTGCCTGTTATGTAAATAATGTGTGGACTGTGCTAATATGTCTCAGATCAGACTGAGTTTGTTGGTTCTAAAGCAGAAACTCTGAAGAGACTGGCAAATAACCAAAATTACTGCCAGATTCTGCCCACCAAGGTAATGTTCATTGTTGAAAACTTGGAATCACTGGATGACAAACACATTTTTTTCCTCTGACTACTGCCAACGTGATTGCCAATACAGACAATTACCAGATCCTGACAACCAAAATCTCATCTGAATTAAGCATAAAAGTAGCAGGAGAAAAATACAGCGAGAAAACCCAGCTGCTTCTGGAAATCCTTCCAACCCCACAACATGAGAAAACCAAAAAAGCGTTCCAAACCTTCAACACCGTGCTCAGCAACAAATGGGAGATGACCGTGATCCATAATCTGAACCCCAAAGAGTTTGGTGCTGAAGATTCGGTTTGAAATGTCATCCAGGTGTGTACCCCTTCCTCTCAAGGTGTATGACTGTTATGCTAGTGTTTCAATGATTTGCCACTGTGATAAATAAAGTGGGGGGGAGGTAGCTCCCTTTGATGGACACCCAGCCAGCCAGTTAGCTATAAAATCCCTCTTGGTAGCTGTTCTTTACTTGCTTTACCTGTAAAGCGTTAAAAAGTCCCCCAGGTAAAGGAAAAATAAGTGGGCAACTGTCCAAAAGAGCCAATGGGAAGGCTAGAACTTTTTAAAATGGGAAAATAAACTTTCCCTTTGTCTGTGGTTGCTCTCTCTGGGCTACAGGAACCCGGCACAGCAATGCTATAAGCAAAAATGCTGTGTAAGGTTTGAACCAGATATGAAAAATTTTCCATACCTAGCAGGACTCATTGGGATAGGGAATGTTTAGGTAGACATGATCAGGTTATTTCTTTATTTTGGCTTGTGGATCTCCTCTGTGCTAACCCCAGATGCTTTTGTTTGCTTGCAACCTTTAAGCTGAACCCCCAAGAAGCTATTTTGAGTGCTTAAGTTTTGGAATTTTTTAAAATCTACCAAAGCCTAAAGTTCCAGGTGTATTTTCTTTCTTTCTGTTAAATTTTAAAATTTACCTTTTTTAAGAACAGGATTGGATTTTTGGTGTCCTAAGAGGTTTGTGCATATGCTGTTTGATTAATTGGGGGCAACAGCTAATTTTCTTTTTTTTCTTTCTCAGCACTTCCCCAGAGGTGGGGGTGAAAGGGCTTGAGGGTACCCCACAGGGAAGAGTTCACAAGTGCTCCTTCCTGGGTTCAAGGGGTTTTTTTTGCATTTGGGTGGTGGCAGGGTTTACCAAGCCAAGGTCAAAGAAAAGCTGTAACCTTGGGAGTGTAATACAAGCCTGGAGTGGCAAGTATTAATTTTTAGAATCCTTGCGGGCCCCCACCTTCTGCACTCTGAGTGACAGAGTGGGGATTCAGCCTTGACAGCCACTAAAGATAAAATTTCAAATTTCCCTGAAAATTTCCCTGAAAAGGGAATTTACTACCTACATGAACATGCCTAACTCTGACAATGTAAACTGGATTTGCTGGCTTTTTGGAACAGTCATCAAGACACACTTCCCAACTTCAACAAAGTGGCACAGCAAGCCCTGGGGTCTATTAATACAGAGTGCTTACTTTCAAAGTTGGACTACCTCCAAGACAGCAAGAAGCTCAACATGAGCGAGGATACTTCGAAGAAAACTATGCGAGTGTACGTAAACCAGGATTTCTTGAAAAAATATTAGCTCAGAGACAAAAGATACCTTTGTACATAAAAAAAGTTTTAATTATACTGTAGTAAAATGTGTATATTACGAACTTTTTTTTCTTTTTTCCCTGTTTTTTAATTTTTAACCCCATTTCATCCTGGTTTTAATGTTTGGAAAACACCAAGAAATTCCTGGAATTATTTCTTACCAAAAAAAAGCTGAAAACGTGGAACACTATTCATAATATAAAATGAGCTCCAATTGTATTCAGCCTTTTCCCTCCACTGGTAAACAGAAACGGTAAAATGTAACCAAGTTACCCACTTTCAGTTCATTGGTGTCAGACAGTTTGGCTTTGAGGTCAGTGTTAGAGTCTCTTGCCAGGCCCAGCTCCTTCTGTAACCTCTCCACCTTCTTATGTAACTTTCTGATGGTTAGGTTTGCCTCATCTCTCTCCACAGCCAGGGCTGTGCGCACTTGCTTCTCCTCTTCCAGCTGGGATATTTTCTGCCGCAGAAGGTTCATATGCAGCTCTTTGCTCTCAAGCTTTTCTTTCTGAGCTTTCAACTAGTTTAAAGAGAACAAGGGGATTTCAAAAAAACAAACATACACCCAACTTTAGCAGCAATTACATGAATGGATTGTCATTGTAAGTTTGGTCCTTCTGAAGCACATTTCTGTAAGTCTGACCTTCTCATCGTTTCCTGCAGAGCTCCGTACAACTCTGCTCTGGCCTACATAGGCACGTCATCTCTATCTAATCACCCTATATCTCACCTCTTACTACTTCCCTGGGCCACCTCCACCACTCCTTCTATTTTACTGCTTACATGTTGAACATCGACCCTATCCTATACTTAAGCATCATGCATAACACCTAAGCTTGCTTTTTTACAATTACAAACATATGTAATCCTGCAGGTTAGCCTAACAGTTGGTGAAGAGCTCAACCACAGCAGGATGGCTGATAGTGTTTGAGTCAAACCAAACACATGTAACAGATTTCAATCAATGACATCATAGCTGTGTCTGGAAGTTTAATACACCAAAAAGATCAAGTATTTACTAAAGTACTAGTTAAGTTTTATTAACTTTAGTGAATGTGATTTGCAGACTGTGCCAACGAAAGGATACTTCTACATTTAAATATTTTTGGTATGCTCTAATAGTAGTATTGTTGTTAGGAGGTGTTCAATTGACCTACTTTTTTATTGTTGTTTTACTATGCAGTAATTTGCTCTGGGTTGCAAACATGTTTATTATCTCCTCTTTGGAAGACAGACTGTATCTTTGTATGTGTTTGTACAAAGTGGGGCTTTGATTTTGTTTGGGGTCTCCCTGGCAGCTACTTTAATGAAATATAGTAATAATAATGCTCTTCTTTGTAACAGATGGAGATGATGAACTCAGCCCTCCTTTACCTACCTTCCTTTGTAGGTTGTTCGCATTAGTCTTGTTTTCAATCACTGCATCACTTTCCAGTTTGACCAACTGCTCTGCACGGGCCAGAATCACATCCAGACTCATATCGAGCCCAATTTCAGCTGCAATGCTGTCCAGCTTCATTTTATCTGAAAGTTGTTCCAGAAATTTAAGATACTGAAAAAAGAAATGGGTAAGTGGGAAGAGAAAAGGAGTCATTTAGAGCCCTTAAAGAATCCAAACCATTTTCCTCTATGCTGGCAGCCATTGAAGTACAGCCAACCATCACCATTTCAAAAACATGAAGCACACACTTAGTATCCTCTTACAGTTAATACAACTCAGATATTTCTCAAACAGATCTCTCTTCATAGGTATTTGCTAGAAAAGAGTTAAACCTATAGTATTTAGTAGTTTAGTGACACCAGGGATCCTAGAAATGTTTGCCACAGAAAATCATGGAATTTGTGTTTTTACAGAGAATCTTTAGTTTTTACATTTTGTGAAAAAATAAAAATATATACAGTGGAACCCCAATTATCCAATCTAATTGGGACCAGGGCCAGATTGGATAATCAGGAGAATGGGTGGGGCTTGGGCTCTCAGCTTAAAAATTGTAAATATAATCAATAAAACATTGTGTTCAATCAATACCTATCTATATTGTGGCTAGGGACACTAAAGTTCAGCATTTATTTAAATCGCGGAAAAACACAGATTTTTCTGTTTCTTTTTAATTAGAGAATTTGGGGAGGGGTTATCACAGCAAACTCGGATCCTTGGTGATAACCTACCATGATACATGCCAAGCACAACTGATCTAATAGGTAGACTGCAAGTCAAATTTGTATTATACTGTCACACATGACATTGCTGTGTAATATTTTGTTTAATTGTTCTGGAATGAGAAATGACATTTTAAATACAATTAGATTTTGCCCCTATCTTATACTTTATCTATAATGAGGTTTGAAACAACATGAATACTTCCTGAGATAACTGTACAAAAACAAAACCAGAGACAGCAGATCAGAGGTCAGGTGTTAGGAGAGGGTACACAGAGGATGTGATGGTGGACTGAAGAGCAGCACAAACAGTAGGTGGAAGAGATCTACTGATTCAACTATTGGATCTTTCTTAACCTTCTATCCCCTTCTCTGTGTGACTTCTTCCAGGATCGCCTGCAGTTCAGGTGTAAAGAGACAGAGCTGGAGGTCATCCCCAGGTTCAGAGAACACACTGCATTGAATATTCTCCTCCTAATCAGACTACCCAGGCTGTGACCAATCTGGTATGGACATGGTTGACTTGCTCATCAAATGGTGTGTCTTGGGGAAATTTCTAACCTGGTGGAGGCCATCCCTCTCCAGGCAGCCCACTTTCAGTTGCCTCTTATGACATGCAGGAGAAGCAGTGGGCCTATTCTGTCCCTGAACCCACAGGGGACAGAATAGGAAAAATACACCTGGCACCTCCTAGGAATCTCTGAAGTCAGATGAAAGAACTTTGGAGAGGCATGAATGGAGGAAGGCCATGTACTCTATTACAGTGGAGAGGACAAACATGTCAACAGCATAGGATTTCTTGTCCATAAGGATATCAAGAATTCAGTATTAGGATGCCACCCAATATACAGCAGGCTTATTTCCATCTGTCTAAACACAGTACCATTCAATATCACAATGGTACAAGTCTACGCCCCTACAACAGACTATGACGATGAGCAAATTGAAGATTTTTATAATCAGCTCCAAGACATCATTGATAAGGTACACAAGAAAGATATCCTGATTGTAGAAGGGGATTGGAATGCTAAAGTGGGTACTGATGTACAGGCAGATTGGCGAGATTATTGTGGCCCTTTCTGTAATGTGGTAACCAATGATAGAGGCCTGAGACTTTTGGAGTTTGCCAGCTATAACAATCTGGTTCTTGCAAACACATTAGGAGTACTTAAAGCATCCATACAATCAACATGGCATGCACCTGATGGTTTACATCACAGTCAGATCAACTACAACACGGTGCAAAACCAATTTCGTTCTGGGATCAACAGAGCTAAAACAAGGAGCTTCCCATGTGCTGATGTTGGAAGTGATCACAACTTTGTGATGCTAAACTTTTGGCTGTGACTAAGGAAAATCGTTAGGCCAAAGTTCGCCAAAATCAAGTTTGACTTAGAAAGACTTAGAGACCGAAGCATTGCAGAGTCATTCCAAGCAATGATCAGTGAAAAATTTGCTCCGTTGCTTGTTCTAGAGGAAAACGTAGAAACAATGACCAACAATTTCAATGCTGTAATGAATGAGGCAGCAATGGACATTCTTGGGAACCACTGTAAGATAAAACCTTGGGTCACAAATGAAATACTACAAATATGTGACATTAGAAGAGAACTCGAGAGACAAGAACAGCACTGATAAATACAGAGTGATTGGCAGAAAGATCAAGAAAGGAATGAAGGTGGCCAAGAAGATATAGATCAAAAAAACAATGCTCTAAAATTGAAGAGAGTGTATCAATAATAAAAATAGCAAAAGATTTCACGAAGGAAAGATGGACCAAAGCTAACACAATTCAAGAAAAAGAAGGGAACAACCTTCAGAAGAAAAGGACATCATCAATAGGTGGACAAATTACTGCTTTGATCTATACAATCACCAGGCAAATGGAGATGTCGTAGACAGCCCAGATTCAACAGAGGAGGATGACTTTCCAATACTGCATGAAGAAGTGGAGACAGTTGTGAAATCACTCAAGAACAGAAAGATTACAGGTATTGACAACATCCCAGCTGAACTGATGAAATTTGGAGGAAAAACAGTAATAGATGTACTCACCAAGATCTGCAACAAGATCTGGCAGACCGGTCAGTGACCCTCCACATGGACAGTCACTAATCATCACTCTGCCAAAGACAGGCAACCTGCAATTGTGTCAGAGTTACCGAACTATAAGATTAATTAGCCATCCAAGCAAAGTAATGCTGAAAGTCATATTGAACAGCTTGAAGCAAGAAACAGATATCATCGCTGAAGAACAGGCTGGCTTTCATACTGGAAGAAGTACCAGAGAACAGATTTTTAATCTTCGCGTTCTGTGTGAGAAGTACTTACACCACCAGCAGGACCTCTACCACGTCTTTGTTGACTTCAGTAAGGTGTTTGACAAAGTATGGCATGAAGCTCTCTGGACAACCATGAAGAAGCACAGTGTCAGTCAAGCTTATTCTTACTATTAAATAACTGGTTTCAGAGTAACAGCCGTGTTAGTCTGTATTTGTAAAAAGAAAAGGAGTACTTGTGGCACCTTAGAGACTAACCAATTTATTTGAGCATAAGCTTTCGTGAGCTACAGCTCACTTCATCGGATGCATACTGTGGAAAGTGTAGAAGATCTTTTTATATACACACAAAGCATGAAAAAATACCTCCTCCCACCCCACTCTCCTGCTGGTAATAGCTTATCTAAAAGGACTATTACCAGCAGAAGAGTGGGGTGGGAGGAGGTATTTTTTCATGCTTTGTGTGTATATAAAAAGATCTTCTACACTTTCCACAGTATGCATCCGATGAAGTGAGCTGTAGCTCACGAAAGCTTATGCTCAAATAAATTGGTTAGTCTCTAAGGTGCCACAAGTACTCCTTTTCTTTTTATTAAATAACTGTATGCCAAGGCCAGCAGTGCAGTTCTCAATGGCACAATAGGAGAGTGGTTTTGTACCACTGTTGGAGTCCGGCAAGGCTGCCTTTTTTCACCCACACTGTTCAACATCTACTTGGAGTGCAAAATGACTGATGCCCTGGAAGATCACATATGCACAGTCAGCATTGGGGGGGTGAACAATCTCAAATCTTTGGTTCACTGATGACATTGATGGCCTGATAGGCAACAAAGATGAACTTGCCAACCTTCTGAAACGAGTGGATGAAACCTCTGCAAAATATGGTTTGAAAATCAGTGCAGAGAAAACCAAGCTGATGACAAACAAACATGATGGGATCAGCTCAGATATCACTGTCAGTGGACAAGAGCTGGAGACAATGAAACAGTTCAGATATTTGCAGGCAATCATCACTGATGAAGGATCAAAGGCAGAAATTCTGGTAAGAACTGCACAAACAGCAGCAACAATGGCAAAGTTAAAGCCAATTTGGAGGAATAAGAACATCTCTCTGGAATCCAAACTGAAACTGCTGCACGCACTGGTCATCTCCATTTTTCCGTATGCGTGCGATACATGGACCCTTGCATCAATACTTGAAAGGAAAATGCAGGTAGTAGAGATGAGATGCTTCCTTAAAATCCTGGGCATCTCCTACTTCGACCACATCACTAATGAAGAGGTCCGGAACATCATCACCCAATGCGCTGGGTCATATGAAGGCCTCCTGAAGACCGTGAAGAAGTGCAAACCGAAGTGGTATGGCCATGTAATAATATCTGGCCTATCCAAGATCACCCTCCAAGGGACAGTACAGGGGAAGAGAAGAAGAGGTAGACAGAAGAAGAGATGGACTGACAACATAAAAGAGTGGACAGGAATGGACTTTGCGGAGACTCAAGCACTGATACACAATCATCATGGGTGGAGACAATTGGTTGATTGCTTATCAGTGATGGTGCCCCAATGACCAATGTGGTTATGGGAGCGATGATGATGATGAATCAGACTATGGGGAGGCAAGAGGCACAAGGAATCAGTAATCTTGCTCATGTAAGGAGATTAGCTTCTAGACCTACCGCTTGGCTGAGAATCCTGCCAGCCTCTCTCTCCTAGGGCTTGTCTTCACATACAGCACTACAGCGCACTGCTGCGATTTAGTGAAGATGCTACTACGCCAGTGGGAGAGCTTCTCCCATTAGCGTAGTTAATCCACCGCTCCAAAAGGCAGTAGTTAGGTTGGCAGAAGAAGCTCTCCCATCAGCATCGCGTTGTCTACACAGGGGGTTAGGTCAATGTAACTACCCCTGAGTGACAGTTATATTGATATAGGTCTGTAGTCCTGTCACTAGGGCCCTGAAAAAAAAAATAAGGCTTAGTGCAAATGACTTAAAAAGAGTATTTTGTTGAACATGTCTGGTGTTAGTAACTTCTCTGTAAGAACTCAGATTGAAAAGAAAAGCATGGTTAGGCAGTGTTAATGGCTACCATCAAGCAGGTCTTTGATCTATAGACAATCACAGACTTGGTTAATGATGATAGGTGTGCGCAAAGCGCCCTTCTTTCAGGCTAAGTGGAAGGAGCAATTCAACTCTTTGATGTAGTGAGATAGCTGGAGACAACAGAAGCCACCACCTAAGGCAACATGCCGCATGTTGAGTCCTGATCAGAAGCTAAGCCATATGGTTTGAGGGATTTCCTTGGGACAGGCTGCAAATGCAGTGGCTAGGGGGTGTTTAGCATGGGGGGGGTGTGTGTGTTTGTGCATGTCTGCTTACTTTAAAAAAGCCAGTGGACAGGGAGAGAAACAGTGGTGACCCTGAGAGGGGGCAGAAAGATCAAGTTCCTTGGGCACAGAACTGACCGGAGGGGTAGACTTGGAAATCGTGAGCAAGAAAACTACCTGTTTGTTTCTACTGTGTTCAGGGAAACAGGACATTGTTTACATGTTTGGAAATAAACTAGATTGCACCAGAGACTATACCTGACTCATTCATTTCTCCTCCCAGTGGAAACAACCCAGCAATGCCCCTACTATTGGCTAATCGCTCTAGCCAAAGCAGGCAATGATATGCCAACATCTTTGTATAAATATTGGATCCAATCCTAAGCACTGTTAAGAGCTTTTAGCTTCTTGCAGCATTGGGTCCAGTATGTTATCCTGCATGGACTGTCTCTCCAAATTACTGGTCCCTGCTCTTATTGCTGAATACATTTTGTGGGACCCCTAAAAGTTCTATTCAAAGTTAGGCTAATGAATACTTAAGAAATGGAAATCTGAAACCTCAGTTGTTCTTTCTGACTGCTTAAATTATTTATCCAACACATTGGAAAAATTAACATTGGCCAGGAAAGATAACTTGAAACAATACTATTTGATTTGGTGCCATAGGAAAGAACTACATGATATCTCTTCATAGTTTGCCTTAGTTATTAACAACCCAGCGTATATTAGCTTGCCATGGAGGTACAAGTAGGGGAAGCCTCGCTGGGTGTAGCAAAAAAAGGGTAGAAACATTTTTAAGGGATGATTTTTCAAATAAACCAGGAATCTGGGAACAACTAGAAGGTTTTCTGTGCATTCGGGTGAATTTTAGTTGTTTTTTTTCTATTATTTTCCCTTACCCTTTTCAGAAGGCAATGACATAAAATTCTTTGCAGACAAAGAGCACTAGCCCCTCTGCTGCTACTCATTTTTGCAAAACAGCAACAGAAGTAAATTAAAAAGATCTTGTTCAATTTCATGGCTGCCCTTGGCATCCAGGAGTGTGAAACTGTCAAGAATCTTTTCTGATTAATGCTGCTGCTAGTTGGGAATATGGAGCATACGAATATGGAGCATACGAATATGGAGCAGAGGCAGGAACTGGAGCTATTCATTGAGGAGCGGAACCCAAAATATAGAGACTGCTGATGGGTGGCAGAGTAGCGAAGAAAGACCTCTTCCTCACACCACCTCCTTGCAGCAGACATCTGGAGACAAGTAAAAAAATGAAAAGCCTCTTCCCTTATGGGAGAAGTGGGAGGATTAAACAGAAAGCTCCATCTCCCTTCCTGTAGCTAGAGGTGGAGGTTAAAATTTACCAAAATTTGCTGTATTAGCAAGACACTGATACAAAAGGTGGAGGACCAGTGTCCAGAAACAGCTGTCTGGTAGACAGCTCAAAACAGTCACCGGCTTCGCACCAAAGCATTGGTCCTGGACTGATGACCTGGACACCTACCTTTATCTTTCTTCTCTACCTCTCTGGCTAGTTAGTTTAGTCCTTTAGGTATCAGTTAACATTTCAAGTCCTTATTTAAAAGTTTTATATGCCCCAAAGCACCAGCATGTGAACTCACAGTTTGAGTACTCACTAAAACAGGGATTCTTAAACTTTTTCTCTCTGAGGCCCCTCTTGACAGGCTATAAAGACTCCAGAGTGCAGCAGGGGAGGGGGGCTTCAGGGCAGGGGCCTTGGGCATAGGCATAATTTGACTTCTATTTGGGGGGGCAGGAGCCAGCAGGGCTCAAGACACCTCCACATGGCAGGGTCCAGGGAGGAAGTGCCACCTCCATCCCCTGACTCACCTTAGCTGGCCACCCAGACTGTCTGGGTTGGGGGTGGGGGACACGCAACCAAAAATTATAACTTAATTATAGCTTAGCTCAAAAAGTTTGAAAATAGCTTAGGGTACAGAGAGGGGGTGGCTAGGGGCTGTGTGCAGGCAGTGGGGTAGCTCAGGGTATAGGGAAAGGGGTATTAGGGGCTGTGTGCTGGGAGGGTTCCCCTGCAGTCCCTGTTCCCGGAGGGGTCTGCCAGCCACGGAGCCAGGTTGCCTAACCAGCTGCCTCTGTGGGAGCAAAGGGGGCTGGGACCTGAGGAACAGCTTCAACATGGGGCACCAGCAGGAGACAAGGCAATGCTGCCACTGCCTGCTCCATGATACCAGCCAGAGCAGCAGCTAGCCCACGCTGCCTGGCTCCAGCTTCCTACCTCCAACCTGGCCAGGGGGTGGGGAGAGGAAATGGGGTGGGGGGTATGGAGCTGCCTCCCCGGGACTGTCGTGATCTTTCGCTGCAATTGGCGGAGGGGGCAATGCCCTCCATATCCCCAACTCTGCCCATGGGCTCAGGGCTTCTGCCCCACAGGAAGCACCAGAGCTCAGGGATTCAGCCCCACACCTCCTGGCTTCAGTTCCTCGGGGAGTGTTAGGGGGCGGGGATGGGAGCTTCAGTCACAAGGCCGCGTAGCCCCCTTGAAAGGCTGCGGACCCCTGATTGAGAACCGCTGCACTAAAATACAATAAAGACGCTCAGCTATATCTCTGGCTTGTGAAAAACATTCCCACAAATGGAAATAACCTATGTTGTTACTTTTTGTTTCTCAAGCTTCAAATCATCTCGCATCACGTCTCCAGACACCAACTCCCCATCCAGACGCATCAATTGCTCCTGGAGTGTCTCAAATTGTTTTTCTGCTTTCCTGGCCTTTTGCAGAGCCTCCTGATGCAATCTCGTCTGATTCTCCAGCTGCTCAGTCAGTTTAGCGATTTGGGCTTCAAGCTGGGACACCATCTGGGAAACAAGAAAACCAAAAAGACAGAGACTGAGTTAACTTGACATATACATGGTAGAGGCACAAGAAAGATGCATCCCCAAGCTACCAAACAGTGGAAGATTTCCCACTTATAAATAAACAATTTTTTTTAAAAGAAAGGAAACAAACTCACAATATAAACCAAAAATCAGAAAAAATGTTGTATGCAGTGTTCTTGTAGCTGTGTTGGTCCCAGGAAATTAGAGAGACAAGGGGGGTGAAGTAATAACTTTTATTGGACCAACTTCTCTTGGTGAGAGAGAGAGACAAGCTTTCGAGCTTACCGAGCTCTTCTTCAGAAAAAATGATAGAAGCTGCTGGGGAAAAAATGCTGCAGTGAGCTACTGAATCAGAAATGGAGAACACCACAAAGACCTGATTATCTATGCCTACGCTGCCAAATAATTTGAAGTAGCTAAGTCTTTTGTAAATGGTTTCAGAGTGGTAGCCGTGTTAGTCTGTTCCCCCCAAAACAATGAGGAGTCACAGGTGCCACAAGGACTCCTCGTTCTTTTGTAAAAGTTAATCCAGACACTCCGTGATCATTCCAGAACACCCATTCACAATTTACCCTAAATTTCATCCTAGGGTATAAAACAAAAACTTCTGTCCTGAAATGTGGAGTGTTTAGATTAACATTTACAAAGATGTTAGCTAACTTGAGTTAATTGGTAATCAATTTCAATTAAAATAGGGCCACAAATTCCAGTCTGCATATAATCTGGAAAAACGGAACATTTTAGAAAGATTGACTAATACATTTTAATTAAGTGCGTTTTACAAACATGTTACCCCCTAGTGTAGACAGTGTTAAAAAAAAATTAACATGTGTTTGCTTGTCCTGGTCAACATTAGAGAACCTAGGGTTCACCAGGGACAACTGAAATTTCTTTTAAAGATGTCTCCACTCAGTGTTACTGTGCTGTTAAGCACCACTTGATTAAAATGAGTTTGCTGAACACATTTTCTTCTAAAGCGGATAAGAACTAAAACTCACAATATAAACCAAAAATCATTTAGCTGTTCTCTATTAACTTGACAACACTTATGTTATTCGCTAACCAATAAACTCAATGGAATGGAATTAAAAAATGAATTGTTTAATAACAGGAAATAGCAACAAGATGGCTAATTACAATGCTGCCAAATGTTAAATTACTTGGCCATATTCAAAAGGTTGTTTTTTTTCCCCTCTCATTTTATTTTCCTGTAGCTATTTGGTTTGCATTGCATGTTCATTTTTAATTCCACCCTCAGATACTCATCCAACAGTCCCTTCATTTCTAGCATCTGTTGGCCTCATATTTACAAACTGGCCTGGTTCCTGATTTACACACATAAAACTGCCATTAATTTCAGTGACACTTATCAAAATGTAAGGGCTGTAGCCTTGGGTTAGTGTTAAATAAAATGGCAAAATTGAACCAGGACCAAAAAGGCTTTAGGGAAATATTGATTGCACACGGAGAGGAATGACCCAACAACAACAAAATACAACCTAAAGAGAAAAAAAAACAACCAATAAACACATTATTTTCTATTGTATGTCACTAAGGGGAACTCTAGCCCTCATTAGATTGGAGGAGAAACTGGTAGCAGGGGAGGAGGAGTCCTCCATCAGGCTGCAGAAACTGCAGCTGCTTTACCTGGTTCATCTTTGAAAGATGACAGAAGAAAGGCACCCAGCCCCATCCTCTTTTTCTCCTGTACAATGACATCCAGGAGGCTGCTTGCACACAGCAGAGTTCTGCAACACACTCCCATGCACAATAAAGCTACACTAATTCTGCAGAACAGAGATATTTTGGGGTGGCAGAGTAAGAGGTGTGGATTTACCTAAGGGCTTATCTACCCTGGAAACGCTTCAGCGGCACTGCTGTAATGCTTCAGTGTAGACACTACCTACACTGATGGGAAGGGTTCTCCTGTTGGTGTAGGTAATCCACTTCTCCCTTTGACCTAGTCTACACAGAGGGTTAGCTCGGCTTCACGACATCACTCATGGGTGTGGATTTTACACACCCCTGAGCAATGTGGCTAGGTTGACCTAACTTTTTAGTGTAGACCAGGCCTCAGTGAGTGAAATATGCATCTCGTGATGCTGCCACTCAAATGTTGCCATTTATTTCAATTGGAAAAGCATTAGGGCTTGATTCAAAACCCATTAAATCAACAGACATTCCCCGGCTTCAATGGGCTTTGGATCAGGTCAGTCCCATAATTGCAAAAGTATGTACTGTGTTTGAAGAGGACAACCCATTTATTCTTAGGGCCTGTCTACACTATGGCTGCTATAGTAGCACAGCTACAGCATTGCTGCTGGGCCACTCTAGGGCCCTGGGGAGATGCTTCCTACGTAGATGGAAGGGGTTTTTCCACCGATGCAGTTAATCCCCCTCTCCGAGGAGTGGTAGCTAGGCTGATGAAAGAATTCTTCACATCCCTGAGCTACACAGCTGGGTGGATCTAATTTTTAAATGTAGACCAGCATTAGATTCTTCAGTCATTACACTGGGGAAAGAACTGTGGAGTTTAATAGTACTTTTGCCTGTAATATGACTGTAGGTGTGGTTCAGATTAAGTAAAAATATCTGAACCCTGCTGACACTTACAGTGCTCAAGACCTGATCTAGAAGCTTTAAAATGATTGTGATTTTAAATTTTAACTGCTGTAGGACAATAATTAATAGCAACATCTCTTTCCCACAAGAGACTTTATAATACTGGGCACTTGTCATTTTATGTGTTGATTTCTTTTTAAAAGGACATACCTCTGGGCTTTCTACAGATTAAATTACACTTGTAACAGATTCAATTACTGCCAGGCATTTGTCCATTTCACCGGGTTAAATACCCAATTGCAGAAAGGTTTGTAGCGATTTTTAGCCAGACACATTCATTATCTATTATAAGCTGACTGGAATACTGAGAAGTCATCCAGGTAATAGGATAGGCTAATGTGTAGGCAATTAAAGCTCTAAAAATGGCCTCTTTTCTGTCACCTCATTGAAGACATTTAATCCCTTCACTGACCATCCGGCTGCAAAGTATATACACTCCATCTTAAACTTTGATTCAAATCCTAGAAAGGGACTGGTTGGTACAGAGTTCCAGTGGGACCCTGCCCAGGCTAAAAGGTTAGCGCAGGCATATAACTTTGTAGGATTGGAGCCTTACATTAAGATTTGAAAAACAATTACACTTTCTACATTCATGAGTGTGTTGCCGGCACCCAGTGCCGAGAGGCAAAACAGCAGGGGTTTGTTACCCGGTGTGCTTTACTTAATAATTACAACGGGTTGGAGAAGCAGAAAAGTTTATCTGCAGCTGCAAACAAGGTACAGGGAGAATAGAATTTTAAATTCTGCACACCAGAGCAGGTTATTACACACACTTTTATATTTTTTAATGCTACTGCACTACACATTAGCCAACTAAAACTTTGCACAAATACTTTGCCTTTTTTATATGGGTTACAACAATGTTTATTTTTTGCAACCTTTAACAAGCAGTTTTAGCAACTTAAACAACCAGCACATTTTGTCTGGCCTTGTAGCTGTTTTTTATTATTTTTAACTTGGCGTTAGCAAACCTTACACTATAAGGCATTATTTGCGGCTGCAACATTGTTTTAAGAGCAAAAGAGCTTACTTAAACCAGCCAGGCCTGAATTTTATTAAGGGGGGGGGGGTTAAGAAGAAACCCTTAGGTCTTTAGCAGGGAGACTTTCTTGACTCTTATGGCCTTCTATTCCCTTGACTTAAGTAGTGGCCATGCCCTGGGGTCTCCAACAAGTGCGTGCAAGAGAAGCTAGACTAAAAACACAGAACAGCCTACACTCTCTTGGGAATGATTCTTTTCAGAGCATGCTCAAGTCCTTTCTCACATAGTTATTTCAAGGTCTGACCTTCATAAAGAAACTCTCCTGAGAGAAGCAGTCCATACTTCTTTATTAGAGTGCTTCACTTTGGGACAAGGCAGATAAATTAACTCCTTGTCCCCCATACCTGTGACAGATAGTTGCCAAATTATAAAGTTTCTTCAGCTTGCACGTTCGACTTTTTTTTGGGTATCTTTGTATTTACTGAGTTCAGTGGTAATTGATATATAGCTAAAAATCCTCCCCATGTTTTTTTTATTTAGAAAATGATGAAAAAAAAGTAACAAATTTACAGGGGCAGAAGGCAAAGAAAGGAAAAGGGAAGATTTGCTCTTCTCTCCCCTTTATTATTTTAAAGATGAAATAAAAATACTATGGAGGCACAGGCTGTAGCTCCATAGTTAAGGCCAACATGAGTTTTGCATTTAAAGCAGGGGTGCCCAGTCGTGGCACCCAAACAACCTTCATTCTGCCCTGTAGTGACACTAAGAGTATGTCTACGCTGAGAGGCGACACATGGGGCGGTCAAACACCCTCCCTCCTGAACCTTTAAATTGTGCCCACCTACAATATCAACATTTGCATGTTGCCTCTGTAACAAGGTGTGGTGTTAATTCAGATTAGCTAACCCTGCTGGAGGAATTTGGGTTGAAACAGCATGGCAACACAGCTTTTAACTTGGTTCAGCAGCTCAAGTACAACCCTGAGCTGCCCTAGAGGCTTCAACTTGAGCAGCTAACCCAGGTAAAAAACCAAGGTGCTGCGTCTTCACTGTTATTTGAACGCAAGTTAGCTAATCCAAGTTAAAACACATCTTTTCATGTAGTGTGTAATGTAGGCGTGAGGATTTAAAACAATCTAATGTGTCTTTAGAAAACAATTTAATCTAACATGCAACTTCAACAACTATTATGCATTAATTACAATTGTCTAGTTACAACATGATGATACTATAGGGCAGAGTTAAGTTTGGTTAAGGAAAAGTGCATCTCCATACCTTCATGTTTGGATTTCTTACATTCAACTTTCACTCTGAATTTCCTGGGTTTATACCACTTATTTTGGGGACAATTATGCCCCTATAATGGTTTTACCCTA